GGGCACAAAATTAGGACAAAGGAAGGTCAGTCCAAAGTCATTTATTTCCAGCATCCTCAGCCACAGAGTAATTGGGATTCAGCACCGCTTCAACTGCCCTAGTGCCAGCTGAGCTGGCCTTTGGCCATCCTGGCTAATTACAGTAGTTTTGCTCTCTAAGACATCTTCACGGGGAAAAGTTGACTCCATAGCTAATGGTGTCCTGTAATAATGGGCGCACTGAGCTGGCAGGCTGTCCATACCCCCGCTTCTATATCCAGTTCTGAAGTCATGTTCCTATTTTGTAATATGGCTGACGAACCATCAAACCGATTTGTGGTTCATTGGAAATCCCTGGGGAAAATCATGGGTTGTGAGTGTCAACTTTGACAACCCACAAACCCCAAAGAACCATCATTATGGTGGTTCATCCCCATCTCTAAGCAGGATCGTTGATATTTTGTTACCTTTAAACCTAAATCTAGCAAGGTAAAGGTTCCCCTTGACATTTAGTCCAGTCATGTCCCACTCTAGGGCACGGTGCTCATCCCCGTCTCTAAGCTGTAGAGCCAATGTTTGCCCAAAGACAGTTTCCTTAGTCACATGGCCAGCATGACTAGACACGAAACACCATTACCTTCCTACCGAGGTGGTACCTATTTATCTACTCGCATTTTTGCACATTTTCAAACTGTTAGGTTGGCAGGAGCTGGGACAAGCGACGGGAGCTCTCTGTTGCATGGATTTGATCTTACAACTGCTGGGCTTCTGACCTTGCAGCACAGAGGCTTCTGCGGTTTAACCCGCAGTGCCACCATGTCCCTAAATCTGCATTTAACTAATTATCATGCTTTTACCTAACATTTTTAATATAATGTTATACGTCCTTCTTTAATATTTGAATAATTTTTGGATTATCTTTTAATACTATGTTTTTAATTATGGGTCCCCATTTATAGAGAAAGATGGGGTAAAAAATATTTTAAAGAAATAAAGAAATATCCCATTATGAATACTGTACCTGTAGAATTAAAAGGCTGCAACCCTATGGAAGCCAAACTTAGAAGGCCAGAGATCCATTGCCAGGTCGGAAATGTGGCTGTGCAAAATATTAATCCAAAAACATATGTTGCAAAGCTACTGTCTGCCAATCCATTTCAGTTTCTTCCACGGCTTGAAGTTCTAGCCATTCAGATGCAGGAAGGAGCTGGCGAGACAGACTCCTAACTCCCTACAAGATGTGTGATTTACAATGACAGGTTATTACAGGAAATTAAGCCTGGCTTATATATGCATGAACATCATTTTGATTTTTCACCACTAGATTGTTTATTTACCCCTAGAGGGACAGAAGCCTGGTAGATCTCAACAGACAACAAAGCATAGTGGTAGATGGAGTCAACAATGTCTCTGGATTTAGCAATAATGCACAATTGAATGGGCAAAGGACAGATTAAAAAGATGACTTCAGATGTACAGACCATTGATTTGGACCCCCTGCAAATCCACACTGAAGCGAACCTTTAACCCAAACCTCTTAATCCTCAATTTAATTTTCTTTCTTTCTTTCTTTCTTTCTTTCTTTCTTTCTTTCTTTCTTTCTTTCTTTCTTTCTTTCTTTCTTTCTTTCTTTCTTTCTTTCTTTCTTTCTTTCTTTCTTTCTTTCTTTGTATCTAAACAACTAATTTTACCATCAGGATTAAGCCAAGTTCCAAGAGAAACAATCAATGCCTTCTCAGTAAGGATGTGGCCGCATTGACAAAAAATGTGAAAAAGGTACAGGATTGGGATCGGCTGATTCACATTCCCCCTCCCCTGCTGTCCACACAATATAAAAGCAAAAGCAAATCAGTTCAAAGACCACCCTCCGTATGTAGTTTGTGCCTCCGCCACTGGGGCTTCTACTTATTTTACACCAGATTTGTCTGCAGTGGTACAGAAGTGCCATCTCCTGAACACATGCAGACCGATCATTTCTTTTCCAGGTTTCTTAAAACAATTGCTGTTGTTTAGTTGTTAAGTCGTGTCCAACTCTTCATGACCCCATGGACCAGAGCACGCCAGGCCCTCCTGTCTTTTACTGCCTCCCGGAGTATGGTCAAATTCATGTTGGTAGCTTTGATAACACTGTCCAACCATCTCGTCCTCTGTCATCCCCATCTCCTCTTGCCTTCACACTTTCCTAACATCAGGGTCTTTTCCAGGGAGTCTTCTCTTCTCATGAGATGGCCAAAGTATTGGGGCCTCAGCTTCAGGATCTGTCCTTCCAGTGAGCACTCAGGGTTGATTTCCTTCAGAATGCATAAGTTTGTTCTCACTGCAGTCCAGGGGACTCTCAAGAGTCTCCTCCAGCAACACAATTCAAAAGCATCAATTCTTCAGTGGTCAGCCTTCTTTATGGTCCAACTCTCACTTCCATACATTGCTACGGGAAAAACCATAGCTTTGACTATGCAGACCTTCGTCAGCAAGGTGATGTCTGTTTTTTAAGATACTGTCTAGGTTTGTCATTGCTTTCCTCCCAAGAAGCAGGTATCTTTTAATTTCGTGGCTGCTGTCACCATCTGCAATGGTCATGGAGCCCAAGAAAGTAAAATCTGTCACTGCCTCCATCTCTTCCCCTTCTATTTGCCAAGAGGTGATGGGACCAGTGGCCATGATCTTAGTTTTTTTGATGTTGAG